AAATTTTATATCTTAGCTATAACTCCTTAATTAATATATTACAATTTGTTTCTAATTGATATTTGCTCTCTAAGAAAATTACATAATATATCATGTAATCATCAGTACATAAATATAAACTGCTCTTCTTATTTCTTCCAAATAATAACAATAAATATGTGTAGCAACAGCTTTAAGCATGAACGTGTTAAATTCGGATTTATTATTTATAATAAAAGGTGATTCATTATAAAATAACATATTCTTTATTAAGTAGATTTATCTCAGCTTATAATTTTTTTTAAAGATTTTGCTGCAAATAATACAACTTTTTAATATGAATTTTAAATTAATAAACTTAGAATTTTTTAATAATTTAAACAGTTATAATTTTTAAACTACTATTAGTAAGAATAATGTAAACTTGAAATATGTACAGCTGTTTTTTTTACTGCTACTGAAGAAAGAGAATGTAAAACGTTAGAAACATCAATAATGCTTGTATTGTATGTTATATAATTCCTCTAGTCTTTAAATACAATTGTAGTAACTTTAATGGTGACTACGTCAGTGCTAAAATAAAATAAAACGTATCATGGCAACATAATGATGCGAGTTTTCAAATGTCAGTAATAAAGTAGAATTCTTCGATAATAATCAAATCTTGAATAATATAGTATCTTCTTACTAACAATCGTCTTTTTACTTTGTCTTTCTTTTTTTATTCTCGTTACATTTTTCTTCTTTATTATTTTTTATGTTTTACATTTTTCATCCTTTCGTAATCACAAACGTTGAAAAAAAAGAAGAGAACTATTATAAGACAAAAAAAGAGCACACTGCTGATCTTTATTTTGTTTCAGAAACATGATGATATAGTACTTCTCGCAGTTGTAATAAAAACACAAATTCTTTCGCAAGAGTAAAAATGTATGTATTATTATCATCAGTTTAACAATCACATAATAATAAAAAAATATCAGCATTAAAGTTACTATAAGATTTATAAAGAAGAATAATAGGCGATTTTTTAAGCCATCGGCGTTAAATCTACGATAATGTAAGAGAGAGAGGGAGGGAGGGAAAAGAGGGAGAAAGAGAGAGTTACAAGATATCTTTTATACGATTAGTCGAAATGCGAAATGCTGATAACATCTCTCTGAGTTTTCCCCTGGCAAATAAGATTTTTATGTTTATATATACATATTTTACAAATTCTTTAACTTATTTTTAATAAAAATATTGCATAAATATAAAAGATTGTGAGTAAATTATATACATATAAGCTAAATACACTGAATATGTATACATTGTATACACATGTATGTTTTGTCATAATTCCTTTATACTATACACTTATATGACAGTTTAGGATAAAAAATTGTAAATTTAAGAGTTGCATTTATTATTTTAAATAAGCAATTAATGTATATAGTTTTTTTTTATCAAACTCTATATACAAATATTTGTGACAACATTTTTCTAAAATGTGACAGTTAAGCCGCGTATAACTGGCGAGATCGTTGCGCATTGCAGCAACTCTAACACAAACGCACTTTTGAACTACATGTACAGCTATTGCAGCAGTATGAAAGGTATCGACAATATAATTCCGCAAATTTTTATATAATAACCACTGCATACAATGTATTAAATTGTTTTCTTAAAAAAATTTTTAATTAATTAATCTATTAATACATAATAATAATCAATGGAAAAAATTAGAACGTCTTAAAAAGGAAAAGTAATAAACATGTTTTAATTATAAGACAATATTTGTGTTTAATGGTTTATATTATGATAATATCTTATCAAACGTTTATTTTATTTAAATCATTGTATATGCCTTTCAACAATTAGTGACATAGTACAACACAGTGATCATCTCATCCTTGTTTAATATTGGCGAACAACAAAGATGTATGTATCATTTGTGTTGTTTATTGGAAGGTATTCATTATAAACAAAGCAATAATTAATCATGTTAAACCGTATCCAATTTCGTCAGCAAGCAAATTACATTGATTTCCTATCTCGTTGCAATTAATTACCATTATTAATTGATGATACGAACATTGTTATTAATAAAATTTCTTCTGTGAAAATTGAAGACAAAATACGAGTAAATATAGGATGTTAGAAAAATCATTCAGCATTTATTTGATAGAGAATATATATACATTATACTGACTGAGTAAAAACTCGCATTCTAAATATTCTCATTCAATTTCCATATACATTGTAATGAGAAATTTTATACCAAAAATCAGTAAGTTGACATATCAACTCACAAGTTATAATAGTAACAGGATAAAAAAATTATGAAAAATAATTTGTGTCACTTATTCCTTGATCATATTTTTTCACAAATAACTATATATCAACAATCGATATAGACTTATCTATATCGATCTGACTTACCGTCAGAAGGTTCGGTTAATCCAATGATCATCACTTGATACTAATAACTTGTGTACCAAACGTCGGTATAATCGTATAATATTTAATAATGTATGTATGTGTTAATAATGCAAAATTTATTCTAAGAGAATAAGTATGAGAATAAATTTAGAAAAACTAATATACATTATGTTTAATTTAAATGAAATATAGTACATGCGTGAGAAAAAGAGAGAAATTATCGGATTCTTCTGTCATTCCAAGAAAACTTTCTTCTTCTTATGCCATCATGACATTAAGAAGATTATCCAAGTATAAATGCATGTTCTTGTTTGTTAAAATACTATAAAGATCGATTGTTTCACCCACGAATAAACTTTGTTGTTTTATCTGTAATAATAAACAAAAAAGAGAGCAAAAGCGAGAGGGAGCAAAAACAAATAAGAGTGAAAGTGGAAGTAAGCTAAAATTTTTCGAAAAGTGGAACAACCTAGTCAAAAAAATGTTTGACATTACTAAATTAAAATAAAATGTTATACTTAATTAAAATAAAATATGGACTGACTTATATATCTAACTCAAATAACAATATATATTATTATATAAGAATTACATACAAGTAATTTATCATATATCATGTTTTTGTTTTTCATGTTTTTAGGCTATTATATTTTGCCGTTCAAAATCTCGCTCAAGAAGTGATTACACTAAAATGATCTTTATATATGTATATAATATATTTTGATACTTAATATTTAAATTAAAATAATTTATATACATATTCAATGCAATCAATAAAACATTAAGTAATATAAATAATTTTTATGATATTTTACATATAGATTTTTACAGCACTAAAAGGTTAATCTAAATGCATCGATATCAATCTTTACATTTCGAACTATTATGTTACTGTTCCTTTCAAATTTAACGCTTTTTAATGTTAATATTTGACGTGTGTCTATGCGGCTAGCAAAGTGAACAGATGAACACGTATTTTTTTGCGTCAGAGTAGTTAAGGAGAATCAAGTGAGTAAGATAGAGAGAGAGTTTGAAAGTAGGCCTTAGCCGTTCAGTCAGTTGTCGACTACGTGTCTGGACGATTGGTTGGCACAATGGTGAGTTTTCGAATATCGTTAATCGAAAGGCGCTTTTCTATCACTAAGAAGGTATAAAGTATTATTCATGTATGTATGTATTTTTATGTATTGTTTTATATATATATTGTTGCTAGTGATATTTGATTTTTTATGCGATACCGTGTGTATCATTACATTGCAACAAGTATTCAAAGTAACTTGTAGAATTATTTCAAGTTAAAATTAAAATAAATATTTTTTCTTGAAATTTAAATCTTGGATAGTGTACGTGTTATTACATTGCAATTTGTCGATTTATTAAACGTGATAACATAATTCTACGACATTTAAATACTTAGGAATGCGATACAAACGTAAATACTATGCAACATAAGATTTGTATTTCTGTAAATAATTGTCGCATTAATACGATGAATATTGCCATATAATATTTATCATTCTAAGTTTATATTAAAATTTTATCTTCTTTATAAAGAAGTAACCACATTCGAGAATAATTGTTATTGTTCCTTAAATAAATATTAAATTATTAAAACAGTAATATAATATTAATACAAATTTTTTAATTATTTCGTAAAATTTTATTATGATTAAATTTTATTTGGAAACGATTTTTATTCTTCAAAAAGCAATAATCTTTTAATTGTTGTCCAATAATTTTTTTTTTAAAAGAAGATTAAAGCAATATGTACTAACAATATATTCGTTATATGTATTAACGTTTATTTTTGAGTATATTAAGTTTACATATATTATAATCTTATATGACAAAGACTACAAAATATTCTTTAACACTGCACGATATAAGTTTGTGAAAGTTGACTCTTTCCGGCTGCACAATTACTACACATACACTCGTTAAATGTACATTTTTTATTTCTGTATGTACTCGTATTTCTCAAGCGCGTCTTATTGAGATTCATAACTTAAAATGGATTCTGAAAAATATGATTTAAGATAAATTAAAAGAAATGGTTTCATTAAAAATTTATGTACTTTTTTTTAGAAAAGTTCATTACATTTATAATATATATCTTGAATTTTAAAATGATTTTTAAAAAACACGTATCAAGGAAAGATTTCTATACTTATATCACACAGATGTAAATTTTATTGCTTCATACGTCTGAAAGAATAAAGTGAAAATGATAGATAAGTATCGGAAAATAACATTGATGTTACGAAAGATTCAGGATTATGAAAATTAACCAAGTATACTCTTTGACATTAATAATTCAGTCAAGGCTTTTTTGCAATATTTGCTAACAGATATGAAAAACAATAATGACATACATCTTGAACTCGTTCTTCTGCAACACAATTCAATAAACGTAGCTTATACACTAGTGGAGTAAACATTTTGCGCTTATAAATAGATAACGTTCGTGAAATGGTTATTTTCATATTATACATATGTATACATATATATTTTAATTCAGATCTATAAATATATTAAATACACCTGGAAATATTAAGTACTATTTATTGAAATTAAATGAAAACTATTTTTATAATTACAATATGATAAGATTGCATAATATGATGTATGGATACAAATCACAAAATGTACGTAAAGTATAGTTATTATTACGCAGTATGTAATTTAAAATGTTTAATTAATTTCCTTAACAAATGAAAAAGTTCTGATTTTTTTACAATTTTTTGGTAATTAATTATACATATACATGTTTTTTAAGAGTTTAGAAATTTTTTGCATAATTAATTATATGCTGTTCCTTCATATACACACATATAACTATGCTATAATTACACTTTATACATACAATATACCATAACAATAAAAAGATGGTATCTGTCTTTATGAGAAAAAAATATAATTAATTACAACTTTTTCATTTATCCAATGTAGATAGTTATAATAAAACTTGAAGTGTCTGTCTGTTGCATTTTTCCTCTCTCTCTCTCTCTCTCTCTCTCTTTGATATTCTTGTTAAATTCGCATAATTATTGTTTTCACAGGTTGTGTTATTTTGTATGCTGTTTGTCATCGGCTTATGTCATTGCAATAATCTTCCGTCAAAAACTGAAGTCGAGAGCTCGATCAACCGAACGATCGACGAAGTCGAAAGATTGATTCGTCAAAATTCTACTTTGCCACACCTCACTAGACATGAGATTGTTGACATCCTTTTCAATATCACATCTAAAGATCTTGAAACATACGAGGACAAAAGAACAATAAAGGAAGCGAGAAACATTTACCAAAAAGCTTTGATGGTAGTTTTACCTTACAACGCAGAAGACGCGAGCGAAAACATCAAAGATCTACATACTAAACCGCCAATAGTTCAAATAATTGCGGATCCTTCTTCCAATCCGGAAGACTTTGAAGTGTGGAAAAACAAGAAATTACAGACAAACATACATGTGCAAGAAATGCAACATGATAAACAATCTCTTGAAAATGTTATAGTAACATATGCTCCAAAGGAAAACTTGGTAAAGGAAAAACACCCTGAACAAACGCAATACAAAAATCACAGGGAAACGTATTCGGAAGCGTCTTTGAATGCACCTTTAAAAGAGACATTAAAGTTTGATTCAGCGCCAATCAAATTTAGCTTTAATTTGGAAAACTTGCAAAAGCAATCGACCATTGCTGAAGAACAAATGACTACTCCTAGACAACCAGTGTTTCAAGGATCTTCATTAATCAAAGACAAAGAAGTTCATGTAGTATACAGTACTAGTGCAACAACAATCCCTCCTCGAACAGTAGAGACGAAAAAGTATATCTCAACATTTAACTTGGATTCTGAGAGAGAAAAAGAAATGTCCGGTCCTTTAAAAAATAATGAAAATGTTTTATCTGTTGATCAATGGCGATATAACGCACCAACAACAGAAAGTACCACAATGTTAACAAAACTTCCAGATACGCTTTTTAAAAAAATTCACGACAAGCAACAGCTGTTTGCGACTACTACACAAATGTCATTGGAAAATGTAGCGCCGACTAACAAAATTAAGTACATTCCAGAGAGGTCAAAGGTAACATCCGAAAAAGTACAAATGGTAAATGCTAATCAATCAGCTCCTATCTATGTAACACCAATGCCTTTCCTTTCTCCTTTATCTTCTTCTACTTCCTTCATTTCGCTGGGGCATGAAAAATTAAAATATAATTCCACTTACAATTTAAATTCTGGAGGTTTTCGCAAAATCACAACGACAACAATGCGTCCAGAAGTAATGGAATTACTTGCCTCGATTGGACTTCGACCGAAAAATGTTACAAATGTAGAAGATGTATTTAGAGTAAAGAACAATAAGGATTTAGAAATAAAATCTCGAATTCCTAATAGTAACGGTTTAATCTATGGAACTTCCGGTTTGACAACCGCTGTGCGCGATTCATCATCAATAAACGCTCAAAACACCTTCGAGAATCCTGTTTCAGAGATCGGAAAAGGCATGAACAATCTAACACCTGATGTACGATTACTTTTTCAAAAATTTGGTTTACATACATCCAATCTAATAACAACCACATCGTCCCCGCTGAAGACCAGTAATACAAACTCTTATACGAACTTTAAACCTTTGCCAACATCTAAAGTAAAAAACGAAGATATGAAAGAATTCTTAGCGAGATTCGGACTTGGTGTTAGCGACAGCAGACAGAAAAAGGCTATGCCGGCATCAACGGAACGCCCATCGTTGATCGAAGTCGTTCCAGATAACATGAGACAGATTCTAGAGAACATAGGTCTTATATCTCGCAAGACATCAAGAACTGTATCAAAGACGAAAAGTACGGAACCAACGAAAACGACTCAATTTCACGTGTTCAAACCTCACGAGGTCCGTGTAAAAGATGAAGGGCAGAAGATGAAGATTAACGAACTCTTAGATAAAATTAGATTAGTCCAGGAAGGAAAAGCAAACGCAACGGACGTACGAAAAGTAGCCGATACTCTGCTTGCTAGTACAAAGACTTTAAAGGATGGTCCGGATCCGCTGAGTATAGAAGAGATGATTAGAACTTACAATATAAACGTAAAAAATGAAGTAAAAAGACAACAGAATTTGAATGAAACCATTGAAACTACTACCAATGACGATCGAGCTCTTTCGGCACCTACAGGTATAAAGAGCTAGATTTATGATATCTGTTTTGGACAATTCGAAGTTCTATTGTTAGATAAATTAAGGGTTTAACGAGGATCTAATGCATGTTAATCAATATGAAGAATGAAATTATGCAATCAAATTAATTATTTTTGGAGATGTGTGTGTCATTACTAAATACTTATTTTTTCAGCTTGGAAATTTTTGTGGTTTTTGTATGTATAAAGCTAAATACAGCTGTAGATTAACATTCTATGATAAATTCAGACATCTTTCGTTATGCAATTTATCTAAACGATGTTCATCAAAGAGGATTTTTGCACAAAGTTATTCTTTATATATACGTCACTGTCAACTTTAGATATACAACTTATATATACAACTTTCATCCTGCGTGCTTGTCTCCGAAGCAATACGCGTTGTATGTGATGTTGCATGTGAATATTGGATGCATGTATTCGCACATAAACCGGTTTGTAACTCAATGCATCATTATCGCTACCAATCACGCAATAGATAGGCGAACAAAATTTGTTGCCTATTTTATTCTTTGAAGTTCCTTCTTTGGATAATTTCTTCTTCCATAATATGTATATAGTTAAATTGCAATAAATTAAATGGAGAAAACATAGTAGAGAAAGAGAAGGAGGCGAAGAGTGCTCTTTATCAAAATTTTTATCAAAGATGAATTTAGAATATTTATTTTTATTGTTCTTGAGTGTTGCCTGTAATTTTAGTCTCTTTATTATGTGTGTGTATACGTCTTTATAACATTTTCCTCGTTAATTCCCGATTTTTTCTTCAAGTAACTTTATATGTTTTTTTATTATTCTCATATCTATATTTAATGATAACAATTTTGAATATTCTCAGAGCAGCTGAAATAGATTTATCAAAATTTTTAATTATCATATGATTGTCATATTTATTATTATAAAACATAAAGAATTGCTCAAAGATAATACCACTATCAATTCACCAAAGATCTTGTCAGCAGAATCTGCAGACGTTTCCTCGACAACGACGACGACTACGACCACAACCCCGATGACTTCAGATTCGGCAAAGGATGGTTCAAACTTCCGTGACGCATTGACACCCACTCTAGAGTCGTCGACATCTGAAAATCCAAATCTTGCGGCATTGGAAGAATCCTTCGGTGGTACTACACAGGCACCGGATCCTGTTCTGCCAACTAAACGAAGAAGCGGTCTATATTTTCTCTTGGACTGGAATACCTTCCTCGAAGTCGGAGATGAAGATAGCGAGAAAGTGAATCTGAGATTTGAGCCAAAAGTTGGCGATAGATCAAGATTTTTGCCAGTCAACGTGCCTTAATTTATAATAATATATTAATTTTGATGCATTATTTTTGAAGAATGTTAATTTAATGTATATATACATATATTCTAATGTTTATAATTTTTAGATATTAAAAATATTATATATTGTACAATATATACAGTATATATACATACACACAAACCTTCTTTTCATTTCTTCATTAAAATTATTATAATCTGAACATTATATACTTTGATAACTTAATTTTTTATATTGTTTTACATTCAATTTTCTTAAAAATAAATCGATTAAAACCGAATGTAATCATCAAATGCATGTTATGGTAGGAATATTAGAAAGTATGGTATTATATTATCATTTGTACATACATAGTAATTTATGTATGCTATTTGAAAACTTCGTATATGTGATATATGTAAAATTATTTTTGCAGAAAAAAATCATAAAATATGATTGATTGGATTACACATATAATGCGTATAAACTGTTTATACGTATAATAATTTGAGTAAAAGTGTAATAAATGAAAATATAATAAATACGACAAATATGCAAGATATTATGTAAATAAAAATAACATAAATACATATAATTAAGTCGAAAATTTTGATAAATATTTATAAAAAATTATCTTTTTATATTATAATAATGTAAAGAAAATATATTAACATATACTCGATACAAAAATTGATTAAGGAAAACAAGTCTTGCAGTGTTTATTTTTTAAATGGTCACAAATTCTACTAACGACAGCTACGTTATTACCGTATTACAATATTTTTAATAATATCGATTGTTAACAGCATAAATTATTTTTCTAAATTATACATATATCATTTCTCTACATTATAGGTACTGTGTATACGTTTGTTGATTTCTATTAATGTATAAAGCGTATTAATGTAGTATAAGATATGTGTGTGTGTGTGTGTGTGTGTGTGTGTGTGTGTAAAATATTACATTTTAATAAATATTGATATAAATGATATACCTATGTATTAAAACTTGTTTTATATTCAATTTGTAATTAATATTACAGTATAATAATAAAGTATCGATTACTATTACAGAATATAATCAATATTATGTGATCCTGTTAAAAAATAAGATTTGAATAAAGAAAATTTACATATCTATGTAAAATAATTAATTACTTTTGGTTATATCGTATTTTTATTTTAAAATTTGATTAATTTTCCTTTACTTTTTGCTATATATATTTTTATTTTTATTATTAAATAATATATGTATATATGTATGTAGTTTATTATGCATTTCACACACTTGTGCTTACATGGACTTCCAAATTACATTTAAATATCTTTATAAAAACTTAATCTACATAAAAAACTTAATAATCTACGCAAACTCTTACAAATCCCGTCGCGGGCTGACACATTCTCTCTCTCTCTCTCTCTCTCTTGTGTCATTTCTAAGTTCTCCGATCGAGTTCTCCGATTGAGTTCTCCGATCACAGACTATTCATAATGATGTTAAATACAATATTAAATGTAGCACATTTAAAACGCTGTATAATATATGTATATACATATGTTTGTATTAATAGATATTTTGTATATAGATATGTATTCCAATTTTTAAATTACTTTTCATATAAAATTACACGGTAATTATAAATAGAATAATATCCTAAATTTTAACACAAATTGTATATAAATTAGTTAAACTGTTCTTAATATCCTGTAACTACAACAAACCTTGTATTTTATATCACTATATTATTATTCATTATTGATTTTAAACAATAAGTTTTAATATTAAAAATAAATTTTTAACTGCTTGTGTAGATGTTAAGATTGTAATATTGTAAAAATATTGTAATATTGTAATATTGATGGTATGTATTAATAAAATTCGAGTGTTAACAATATTACAGAAAAATTAACGTTAACATTATTTTAGAAAAAAAATTTAATCTTTGATATAATTTAAAGAAATTTAAATTAGAAGTTAAGTATAGCCTCTATGAAAATCAAAATATTGTGAGTTGTGTATATTGTACGAATATTTACGAGACATCGGTCGTGAGAATTTCACAGTTAAGTCTCAGTCTGTATCCAGAATGTCAAGGAGTAAAGGTGTTGTCGTATGGTTTTTCCTTATTTTATGGATTTTTGTAAATAACACAAAATGCCAGGATTTAAAAGAAATGTCTAACACATTAGACAAAATGCTCATCAATACTAGATCATTTCGAAAGCCTCGAGATCATGAAGATACTTCAATTTGGCAAGAATATAAATTTGGTACAGGGGCTGGAAATCGAGAAGGTAACTATTATTAAACTTTAAATAATTAATTTCTATTTATAATTGTTCTATTTTAACGCTTAATTTAGTATTAATAAATAGAAATTGTCACATAATTTTTAGAAATTTTTTGATCCAAACATGTTTAGAACGGAAATATTTAAAATCTAATAAATACGTTTTAAGTTTAACATACTATTAATAAACATTTAATAAAAAATATATTATGAATTTTATTTTGTCATATATACAATTTAATAATAATTATCATATACTATATATGATTTAATAACTTTTTGATTATGTCTACACGTAATATGAAAGAGTATTTCTATTTTCAGAAATTGTTGTGACAAATATTTCATTGCATACACTTGCTGATATAACTAAAAATATTAATATATCAATAAACAATTGGCAGTTTTTGCAAACAGAAACTAGTTACTTAATTAGTGCCGAAAATTCGTCATTGCTCTTTTACAAGATTAATTGGGACGATTTGTTGATTGAACGTATCATAAGTATATCGACTGAAGGACACATATTACAATTTAAAGTTCTTCGTTTTAATATTGAAGCTACGTTTAATGAAAATCACTCAAACAATTTAATGGCAATTCTACTAGTTAAAACCCAGTATGGTTGTTTTCTGTATTGGTATAATATTTTTGGAAATACATATATTTTGTATTCGATATTGCCCGTACGAAAACAAGTTCAAGATATGGAAATTATACAAAAAAAGAATCAACATGAATTATTGCTACTCGACAATGATGATATATATGTCAAAGAGCAATCACTGATTGATATTTACGGTTTTGATATTGATTATAACAATCATCGTATCGATATATGGTAATTCCATTTATTCAATTAAGTATATTAATTGTTTACTTATCATAATACCATATTATATAATACATTTCATTTAATGAACTAAATTTATTATTAATACACTAAAGTAATACTGCACTAACATCATGCTCTGGTTTATTCCTTTGTATTTGTTATATTTTAAAAATATTTTACAATTTGCAATCAAATGTTGCAAAGTTTTTCCAAAAGATTTTTAATTATAGACTCTTTCATAAGGAGACATTAAGACTCAATGAAAATGTACAATTAGAACAAACTAATTACAAATAATTTATTGAATAACTTGTGTTAGGTATTAAGACTTTTATTATAACTTTTATGTTTGTGCAATTATGATATTTTGAGGTTTTCAGAAAACCTTAGAAAAAAATGTTCTTCAAAAAATTTTAAATTTGTTTATATATACTGATATTTTAGAACATAAGTATAGTATAAAATTAAATTTTACGAGGCAATTTATAAAATATATTTAAATGTATTTGTGTTTAAAAGTATATTTATGTCGTACAGGTTTTGTCAGCGATTATTTGTTCCAAAAGTATTCGATATTCAAGTTTGTCCAATTTATGGACGCATCGTGCTGGCTTTTCAAGGAATTGATAGTGTTGTTTTATACGAATCAAAACATGAGGATAAATTGTGTCAGTATAAAAAATTAGAAGTTATTAAATCCAACAAACTCGCAAATTTTGTCTGTTTTGAGAGTGGTTATATTGAATACTTAGCAATTAGTGGAGAGAAATCGCGTTTGTTTCACTTTTTTGAGAACGAATTTCAAAATAATTCTGAGACGAATCTGCATTTTGATGGTAAAATGATAAGATTATCTTTTTAAAGTAGAAATTATCATCTTATTAAGACGATAATTCTTGCCATGAATATAATATGCAAACAAAAAAAGAAATGTTTATTTCAGAAACAAATGAAATTTTGTGGATAGTTACTATACCATTAAACACATATCGGGATGAGTCTTTATTATTAGTTCAATTAAAAAATTCAACAGTAATTGCTTTAGCTTGGTATGGATCAAAATTTAAGGCTGTACCTTTACCCAATCAGATTATAAATAACTTTGATCTATCAAAAATTGTCGTTGTTCCAAATGTTGGATTTGCACATGTAAACACGCTTGTAAGTATAGAAGTGACCTTAACTGAATCAGCGCATCCAGCTATTCATGATGAAATGGAAAGCGTATTAAAGACACGAGCTTTATTGAAGGTATGTTTACACATATCATTAGTTTTTTATATACATATAACATTATAAATTTTTTTATTTAATCATAAATTAAAACATTTCATACTTATGTATAATGCATTGTAATAAATGTATTGGAGTGGAATAAAAATTTGTAACACTACTTCATTTTTATCATTTCTAGATGCTTTTTTCAAATTTGGCAATTATATAATACATGCGATAGAACAAAACTTTAACTTTAAGATTCTATTCTTTAAATTGCAGTAGGATAATGATTTTTAACGAAATTATAAGCAATTACAATCAAAATGGTCTTTTAATTTAATCCACGATAACTCAGTAATAAAAAATATTAGAAACAGTTTTTAAAAATAAATTTTTATAGAGAAAACTTTAAGTTTCCACGTTAGAGAAAAAGTCAAAAATTTTTGCAGATTTTTTTATACGCAAGAGACAGACTCACAAAATAAAATGAAAATTTTTTGTTTTGTTCATTTCGTAGTTTCTTATATGTACCTACAAGTTACCAAACTCGCAGAAACTAAAAAGTCATAGTGATTTTTCAAAAGTAGAGACATTAATTTTATATATAAAACTTTTTTTATTTAAACTTCATTTTGTACAAAATTACATGCTTGAATTTAAAGGTTCATAACGTTCTAAAATAATCTGTTTTATCCTAATATAATTACATATACTGTATAAGAGATATAGTTTTATAAATATATACAGGGTGTTTTCAAATTCGCGCCCGCGAAGTACAAGACGTCATACTTCACGCTAAAAGAAACAATTTTTTCCTTTGCAAAATTGCGTCTGATAAATAGTTTTTGCAGGAGAGAAGGTTAACGAATAAGCGCTCTGATCTATGTGGCGCTCAGGGTCACATAGAAAAAAAAGAATAGAACATTCAACAAAGCTCACCAAGCATATACATAGATCAGAGCGCTTATTCGTTAACCTGCTCTCCTGCAAAAACTACTTGTCAGACGCTACTTTGCAAAAGAAAAAAATTGTTTCTTTTAGCGTAAAGTATGACGTTTTGTACTTCGCTGGTGCGAATTTGAAAGCACTCTGTATATATATATAAAGATAGTTTGTACATAACCAGAATTATTTTTATTAAATTTTCAGGAAATTTTTCGAAAGCAGGAAGCTATCTTTGATGAGACTGAAACGCAATTCAATCAAAGTTACTTAAAAAATGTAATAACAGGATTTTGGAATCTTTCAAAAGTAAACGTATCGAACGCTACACTCGGAAGTAATGTAAATTATGGCACTGTCAAAGTTGGTTCGATTAATTTGAAAATAGAAGATATATTGATAAACGTAACATCAAATATAAAGAGATTAGAAGAATTAGAAGCAAAGCTTGATCAAATCTTACCAGATTTGAAAAGTATGACTAATTCGATAAAAATTATTTTACCGTCAGATGTTGAATTAAATGGAGATCTTCTGGTGACTGGTACTCTATATATAAAAAATATAATTGCGGATTTTATTAATAACGCATCAACTTCAATCACAGAAAACAATTTTGTATATCGCATCAATGGTCAATCTCTTTCTTCTATCGATACTAATAATTTAACAATTTCCTCTTTAAATGGCATACCGCTCGAGAGAATTATGTTCGATTATCTAATAAAAAATTATAGTGACGTAAATTTTTCAAAATTAAAGAGATTAATAGTCGATGGACACTTGAACTTTTTCGTAATAAATAATATTAAATGGAAGGAGCAGATGCAAAATATAGTTTGGAAAGATAAATCGACAACTATTTCTGGAGAGACATTTGTGGAAAGGGTAAAACAACTTAATATTATAATAGAGAATTAAATAGATAATAGAAGGTCAATATAAATCTTAATGATAAAGCAAGCATTCTCTTATAAAGAAATAAGTTATGTTGTATTTATAGTTTAATAATGTGTTCATAGTTTTGAAAAATGTAATTTTATGTGAAACTAGAATGCCTTTAACGTAACAAAACAAGTGTTTATACGTCTTTTGCTTTTTATTCTTTTTAGTTTTTACGAAAACTCGTCGATTTTATCATTTTTAATTGACATTCTGTGTGTACCAAATTCAAATTTTTATAATTTCTTTTTTCAATAAATTATAATATTTTTTTTTCAATAGCTTGTCGCCGAAAAAGTTGATGTAAAAAATCTGAATTATTTGCAATATCCAGAAAGTTACGTTCTAATGAATAAACTGAATAAATTTTCTGTCAACGTCACCGCTGAAAAGCACTTTGTTAACTTGTCTACGACACATTTGCTAAGCATCAAGACAATAAATAAAATAGATATTAATGATTTTGTTATTCTCAACAAACATGAAGTTATTAATGGAGAAATTACGTTTAAAGATTTAGAAATGGATGGAACCATTCAGGTACGATTCGTTAACCGTATATTACAATTATGTATAAACTCAGAGTTCTGTTACAATTTCAGATTGACGGAAATGTAACGGGTATCAATGTAAGCAACATAGAGAATTTGCTTAACGAAACCGATAGACTTTTATCAGACGTTAGTTTTGAAAATCTGATCATAATGGGACATATTGTACTCAAAGATTCAATTAATGCTAAAGCATGGTCAGATTTTGATGATTTCTTATTAAAAACTGAAAAAAATGCAATAATTATTGGAAATAAAAGGTTTTGGAATGACGTCAACGTAAAATCGAATGCAACAATTAATTCCAGACGAATTAATAATCACATTTTTTCAGAATTCGTAACTTTAAATACTAATCAACAGTTTCCTCGTAAGTAAAGTACAATTATCAATTAAAAGTTTGCAAACATTATCTGTTAGATTTTAAATTATGAAAATTAAAAAAGGCAAATTTTTTTTACATATAATAAAGCTGTCTCCTATAAAAAAAAATAAAAATAAAAAAAAAATCTTTTGTTTCCTTTCTATAATCGAATTAAAAAATACAAAATATTTTGATCTATAACATTTAAATTTATCAGTTGAAAAATAATTATAAAGTTACGCTAATCTCTTTTGTATAAAATTGTCTATGACAATTGTATTCATCTCACCTTATTAATTTCAGATTTGACAAAAATATCGACAAATATCATGTTTGGAAATGTTACTCTTGGTATGATGAAGAAATTAGAGGATTATATAACTTACGAACAAAATATAACTTCTGATTGCTTTAATAAAATACTGTTGTTTGCTAAATCAGTTATAGTCGATAATTTGTCTTTCGATACTATAAAACAGACTATCCCACAAATTACTTTCTTTGACAAATTGAATAAAACCCTTCAACAAGTGTATTTCGAGAATTTAACGATCTCAATATTAACTATCGATGACATTTTACCGAAAACAATCAATAGAATCAACTACACTGATTTGGCCAAATGCGTGTTAACGCCTTATACGCAGCAGAATCTAACAGGTGCTTTAATAGTTGATAAATTAGAAACTGACATCTTGGATGCAGAAATTATCAACGCAATACCTTTGAATACATGGAATCTGTCATCGACGCACAGGAAATCACTTTATAATGACATTTACAACGGAAACGCATCGATAAAAACTTTAGAAGTGACAGGAATTATAATGTCGTCTTCAATTAATAACAATGATATTACTGATATTTACAAAGAATATAACATGGCAACTGTCATTTTCAATGCAAATGTATCGATCGAAAATTTGAAAGTAATTGGTTTTATAAACAATTTAAACCTATCTATGTTTATCACTGATGCTGTTCAGAAAACCGATAGAAATGTTACGTTTATAAATCGCAAAATATTAAATAATATTACGTGCGAATTTTTAAAAGTACAATTTATAAATAAACATTTCGTAAACCATATTTTAGATCTAAATGAAAAGCAGATGCTAAATGGGCCAATTGTTATAAATGGTATGTTGCATTTATTAAAATTGTTAAGGATTCTTTTACAAATGTACAGTAATGATTCAACTTTATTTTCTTTATCTTTATATTAATAGAGAATGGGAAGTTACTTTTTAAAAATAACTAATTACCGTGTTACTCATTATCAACTTAAAAAAGTAACTAGTTACCGTTAATAGTTACTGATTTAAAAAAAAAAAACTATTTACTGTTATATATCGTTAAACTTATAACGACAACGGCATTACAAGTAACGAATTATTCTCATTCCCTAGTAATTAGTGATATCACTAAAAGATTAAAATTTATTTGTATGTTTATCTTAAAATAATTAATTATAATTATCTATAATATTTTATAATTACTTATTTATACTTTTGTGTTAATCTTTATTTTTGTAGCCTTATTTTTATAATAACAAAATTAATTTCTTTTTTTTCTTTGAGGTTCGGTCACGGTTCTAAGAAATTTTAATACAACTGGCAAAATTGGAAATTCTGTAGTTTTAAGTGATTTCACAGATAGGTTTAAAGCTACGAATAATTCTTATGCTCTTCGGGGTAATGTTTACTTCATTGAGACTGATTCTGTAACAAGATTGAATGTAAATGGATTGATTCAAGGATCAACGTTAAGCAGTTTCTTCAAGACCATCATTTTTAAAAGTGATGCAAATGTTACAATTTCTGGATTAAAATTATTTAAAAATTCAGTTACATTTAATGATACATTTAACGTCGAAGGTAGCTTAAACAATTTAGATGTATATAGATTTCGCAAAAACATTATATATGTCGATAAACCTTTCTCAATTAATACCAAAGTCACGTTCGGAGAAAAGGTTTATCTACGAAAAAATCTCGTAGTAAAAAATAAATTACAATCACGTACCATTATGAAAGTTGATATAAAAGACTTACAAGGGAATGTTATTGTCCTTGATAAACCTAAGTATTTTCCAGGTAATTATTGATCCTTTAGAGTTTATTATATTAATAAAAATGTATATACGTATGCTTGTAAAAACAAATAATAACTTTGAGTTTCTTAAGAATTCGTAAATAATAAAAATAATTTATATACATAATAAATAAATATATTAGGAGAAGAGTATGCAAATCAATATATAATTATTGATTTGTAATCACTGTCATACTTTTATAAAATTGAATTATTTGCATGCTTTGTGTAGAGAATTTGTATATTTTGTAAAAATTATTTAGCACTTTTTAAAATTTAACATATTCACTAAATAATTTGCAGCAAATTTTTTCCTTTTAATCGATTAAAATCATTCCAGCCAATGTAGTTTCTTTAAAGAAAAGTTTGTTACATAATTTTATACAATTTCTTTTTTTTTAGAATAATTAACTATCTATTTTTTAAACGATGTGTAATTACGCGTTATACATATTATTTGTAATTACAATAACAATAACATTACTAAACATTATAAATAGTCACAAATAATTGAATATTTAATTTTGCAGCATAGAAAAGAGTATTTTGTTTTTTATTTCAGCACGAATAATACTCAACAATGTGACTTTCCAGGAAAATATAAAAGTCATGCAGGTCAATGACTTACAAACAAATCTGTTGATTTTATTAAATATGCGACAGTTTATTATGACCGATAAACTTAATTGTACAAATGTTACTGTCAAAAACATTCACATATTAGGTCATATTAACACCTACCATATAGAAGATATCTATGCGGACACCTTCATGGTATAATAAACGTAAATTAAAACTTATCTCATTTGGAACATTTTTAGCCAATAAAATATGAGATATTAAAAATGTTCTAATAAAGTAATATAAATTATTTAGACATACACATACTATTTTAGTCTTTTTATATTTCTTTCAATGCATAATTAATGTTAAAATTAAAATTATGCATACGATAAGGTTATACTTGCTTTACTTCTTTTACAGACATATGGTAATCAGAACATTACAGGATATATAAAGATACGAGGAAACATTTATGCATACCATAACTTCAATGCTCATTTAATCAATAATTTTAAACCGACGAAAATTGTTTCTTTAACTGCAAACGACATTCTGATAGGTAGAAATTAAGAAATAAGACAATCAGTTTTATAAATGTCATAAAATTTTTAAGTGTCAGCATGCGCATACATATATTTTTTTTACTTTACATCGTGCGAATTAGCTTTCGCTCAATGTTCAGTGGCGCGAATATGTTTGAATAGCCTTTGTTGAAAAAACAAATTTCTAACAATAATAATTAATTTAAATAATATATTTACATAACTTTTTGTTTAGGAAACTTTATGTTTAAAACTCCAGTTATCCTTGATAAAAATCTCATGGTTTTGGGTCTCTTGAACAGAATAAGCCCAATTAATTGGCAAGGAACAGTAATAAAGACAATAAACGAAACAAACCAAATTATATCTGGAAAGTGGAGAGTGCATGGAAATGTCTATTTTGAAAAGAACGTTGATGGAAATGAATTTTTGAATGAAATTAATGTCACTGACATCTCAGTGACATTAACAGCAGAACATTTAGAAATAGATCATATTACTAAGGAAACATATGTAAGAAAACAGTATTTATAATAAAATTAATTAATATTGATAAGACAATAAAAATCCTATTACATATTTAAAAATTGATATTGATTTCTCTTGCAATTCAGTAATATTACAAGAATCCAACGCTCTCACTTGCTTATATTCTAAATATAATTTTATCTTTTTACAGAAGGATTTAAATAACGTGTGTGCATTACACTTGGATACACTCAAATGCAACGCTATAAAACAGATATATAAATTTAATACGTTTGATTACTTAAAAATTCAGGAATTTGATGGAGACATTCATAATATCCATAATGTCGAAATAAATGATACGGATTATATGTTAGTAAACTATGGCATTTGTCATATAAAACTTCTATTGTATACTCAGACTGATTTTCAAGTGATCGATGAAGTGTCCGATTTTGGATTAATTAATCAATGGATGTTTTTTAAATCAAATCACGTCTTGTACTTGCTTACAATCGCAAAACGACCTACCTGCGGTAGAAGTCTCAACAATATATGGAAGTTGCAAAATAATAGATTGGTGGTAAGTTTATTGCATATAATGCGTACGTGCATGTACTATATATACGCACGTAATATATACGCAAAATGTGTACTTATTAAACAAAAATTTCTCAATTAAACGAAGATTAAAAATATTTATAAAATAAGTAGTTTTTTTTTAAAACAGTTTGGCTAATTTTGTTCTATCATTATTTTTTCTCTCATAGCATGTATTAGAACTTAGTAATACTACAGACATTATGAATTTATATCAAGATGAATTTATAGCAATGATTGAAGAGAATCTTGAAATTGCACCATTTAATATGCAGTTTGATATAAAGACTTTTACCTCGTACAAAAATGAGACGTTTAATTTGGTTTCAAATAACAATCCTATTGAATTAACCAATCAATCTCTAACATATGAATTGCAAGAAAGATCTTTAAACGGCACACATTTAGAAAATTGTCTTGGTTGTGGCAGCATATTGACTTTTAAAGTAGGTACTAATGAAAAAGAAGAGTATATATATTACAACGAAGAAGTCAGCCAAGATTATATATATGTAAGTTAAAACCAATTTTTTAATAATTTTTTTATATAGTTTTATTTTAAAATTCGATCATTTATTTATTGTAAAACAATAATATTACAAAAAAAATATTTTCTTTCTATAAAACTGAAACTTTTGTTGTATTATTGTGTGTTAGTATAATTATATTAGTTAGCATATTAATTATATCATTTCATCTAGTTGTGCAAAAATGATATTTCACAAACAAAGGTTCTGCAAACTATAAAAGCACATCGACCAAAATCATTTTTGGTTCTAAATTTTGATGGATTCGTCGAAACATTAATTGTTTTCGTAGAAAATAATGATATTATCCAAGTTTACGAATATAAAGGTAATTATTTTACTATATAGGTATATAATAAAATTAATAAAAATACAAGAAAAAAGATATTTTTTGTACATTAATAAAATAATGTAATCATTACATTTCACAAAATTGTTTTCAAGGTATCGAAGGTTTTGTGCATCGAAATGCTATACAAATGAAAGTTGATAAGTTGTATAACTTCAAAGTGAGAAAATTCAATAATTTAGAAAAGAGACATTTTTTGGCTGCAATTTATAAAAACCGACTAACAATTTTAGAGGCAAAAATGTATGGCGAAAAATTAAATTTGGAAACGTTATCTACGAACTTTTGTTACAAGAATAAATGCTAAAAATATTAAATAGGTACGTAAGTGTATTATACATATATATTCCATTGCATAATTTCTTTCGTTAAGAATTGATAAAAATTGACATATAACATAGAAATGTATATAATATTATTATATTATATTAAATTATTATGCTGATTAATGAATAGTATACGTACACACGCGCGCATCCGCACACAAATATACACACAATTATGGAAAATCATTGTAAAGCATTATAGTTATTATAAATTATTCTACACATTATAATGTTCAGAGTTGAAAGATCATTATGCTAAATACACCTTTCTATTGTTTATAATAAGTAATTATTATTTGTTTTGTACTTATTTAATAATTTATTATAAAAATTATAATTATTAAAATAGAATAATTTCATTTAAGGTTGTACACATTTCAATTATATATAAAAACGTAAACTTTTTTTATATTAATAAAAAAATGTAGCTCTTATAATACTCTTATAGTATACCACTCACATAGAATATTACGTTATATTACAACAATATTATATCAGTAGCGATTTTTCTATTTCAACAATGAAATAACAACAAAGAAATATTGCTGAAATATTATTCGGTAAAATATTTTTTTATGTATGAACATTTATAAATGCGCATAAATATACATAAACATGTATGAATATTCATAGATATATATAATTATTATATGAAATAATATGTCCATACACGTTTATACATACGTCTTCTTTTTTATAAAATTATTTTTTAGTATAATAAAAGTAATAATAAGAAAAAACATCAAAAATAATTAAAAGGATAATTTCCACATTGTTTATTTTAGAAAAAACAAATTTGTAAAATGTAAAAAAATTTCTCATTCATAATTATGTATAGTTTTACATTTATATATAATTATGTATAAGCAATATTTTTACATTTCTATGATTTTTGTTAAAACACATGCGAAAATTATTCTTTTAATTTGTTTTTGATGCTTTCTATTCATATTGATCAAATAACAACAAATAATAGATACATATATATATATATAATTAATTATTATTTTTTATATAAAAAAATAATCAATACAATATATCGTAACATTACTACCCACAGCATACTTTATTCGAGAAACATCTAGGGAATGTTCAGAAGATATAGATGTGTCTTACGGATGCCTTTAGAAGTCTTTCAAAGTCTGTTGTATGAAATTATTCTCATTACATGGCATAATTTGTATTTAGCAAAGATATGACAAGATATAAATTATTACATTAGTAATAAAGAAGTTTTTTCAAGAAATTTCTTATATATAGTCTATAAATTTTCAAGAAACTTTTTATATATAGTCTATAAAATTACGATTGTTGAAATAATTCGTGATTTAACATAATCATAAAATACAGTATATTTAAAAGTATTTGATAAAGAAGAGAATTTGCAGCAATTATGTAAGGAATGTGACCCGCGCCCTCCTGACCTAGAGACACTATGTATATGACTTGCTCCAAGTAATGTAGGCTTAGGTTAATGTGCTCCGTCTTAGATTCAAAATGATGCCAGTTATTACATTCTGACGATACTCGCACGGATTTGGTGAACTATATGTGACTTTTACATTATAAATTTGTCGTAAACAGAATTAGTAGAATGTTAATAAAAAGGAAAAGAAATATTCTAAAGTGTACATTAAAAAATATCTATTACATTACAACATATATGTATGTATATATTATTATATTGAATGTTGAGTTGTACCATTATGTTAAAATCTTCGATAATCATCATGTAATATACTTTAATGACACGCATATATATATATATTTTATATATATATATATATATATATATATATATATTGAAGATTAATTATAAGAGATCCTAACATAAAGACAATATTATAGTATCGATGACATATACAATTTTATACAATTTTTTTCAGTTATGGACTGAAGATTATTTATATTAAGAATGTAAAAAACAAAATTAAATGAAACGTTATTGTTATTTGATGTTTCGTAGTTTATTTTTTTATTGTTTCTTACAATCTTTATAATAAATAGCTTGGTTACGAAATCATAAATATACTTTTTGTACAATTCAACATTAAAAATTAAATATACTTATATGTATATGTATAAAATTTGTTTTGACATGCATTAATGAATAAACTGACATATAAAATTTCTATATCGAGTTTTTATAAATAATATCCTCCCGCTTTAAAAAAAAAACATATTAACAATATATTATACTAAACAATATAATAGATACCCTAACATAATAATTACTATATATCTCTTATATTCGCTATTTAAGTAATAATTGGATAACATTTTTATATTTTCTACTTTAAAAGTAAAAATTTTACGTTTTTATTTAGATAATTGTACTTATATAAGATTGATCGAAATTCTGGCATTATGAAACGAGTTTGGAAAGAGCCATTTTTTTCATATATCCGCTGTATATTCTAATCTGTATCTCGATATACCTACATCTCGTCTGTTCGATTCGAGAAATCGATTTGGCAAATACGAACACACGAGAGAAGAGTCCGGAGTGCGCCGTCGCCTTGACGATGATGACGATGTCGTCGTCGACGTCGTTTTGACGTCGGCGCAGTGCGTCGTCGCGTAACCAGAGCCGCTGCGTCGGGTCGACGATCTATCCGATGGCAAGTCAGTTTTCTCGGCTTTTGCGTCGCGTGTCCCGTTTCCGTTTTGACGCCGTCGCCGCCGTCGCCGACATTGCCACCATCGTCACCGTCGTCGCGTCATTGTCGTCCCAATCTCATTCGATCGTTAATATTATCAGCATCGCTTAATCGTGTAAATCTCAAGATACAACAATATAATTTGTCGTGTCAAATTTATACATTAACGATACGTTGCTTCAAAATTTCCATCAGCCATTCATCTCGCTGACGACGCGCAACGTCTGCAATACCAATCGAAGATGCCTAATGTTGATTTTATAAACGCTGTAACATAAGAAACCACTAGGACATGTGCCCTTCCGCTTCCTATTGATCGGCGCGTTCCGACCGGCGCGACCATATTTCGCGGCCTGCAAAATATCTGGTAAGAGCTCTACGATTCCTATTTCTTTTTCATTGTCATTCAAAACAGGTTACACTGACAAGATGTTGCCTACTAAGCATGAAATTAAATATATTTTATAAAAGTAAATCTTGGTGTTATCGACCTCTATAGTATACTATTTACAAAGGGGAAATCTTTGTTATATTAGAACGTGTGTGTGTGGGCGCGCGCGCACGCGCATGTGTGTGTGTGTATAGTATGTATACATTTTAAAATTATCAGTATTTACGTATGTAAAGTTAGAATATTAATTTTATTCTAACAATTTTATTGTAATGAAGGAAATCTCGCTTTATATCACAAAGTTATCTCGAGGTTCTAAGAAGATAAAAAAGAAAATAATTTTGGTAGTTAAATGAATTCGTAAACTACGATTTTTTAAAATAATTTTTATTACGTTTGATCTTTTAAGTTAAATAATTATTTCTTGAGAAATTTTCATATTATCAAAAATAAAGTAGATATTTAAATGATTGTGATTAGCGTAATCATAATTTAAATATTTTCTTTATTTATAGATAAAACTTCTTCAAATCTATATTTCTCATAAAAGTTTTCCATTTTGTTCAATATTGCTCTAAACTTTTTATTCTAATAATTGAATCACAAATATATTAATTTATCTATATTTAAATAACAGCATAAAATATGTATACCTAATTTCAAATAAACTATTTAAAAAAATAACACTTTATGATTAATACAACCGGACGTATAGTACAATAGATGTAATGCGATTACATCGAACGAAACAACTTAAATGGACGACAATGAATCTAAATTGTTAATGAAATTAAATAGATATATGTAATATAATAATAACTGTCATGCTGAGCGCAATCAAAATAAGAATTTTAATTTCTGTGTTTTCTGCCTTTCTTGGCAGTAGCTTGCGGTCTATACATTTGGAAATTTGTTGTTTAAACATTTAGACGCAAACGATTAAGTCCTCAATTGTTCTATATATGAACACAATAAAAATGAATCCGCTAATTGATAAATGAATTACTCGTATATACATATCACTAAAATTGATACCTTTTAATTGTTTCTTATTTTGTTCATATTTTACATATATTGCACGACAAAAATTTTTTAATATATTCTAACGTATTCTCTTCTTTTTCTCTATCTCTCTTATGACATCAACATCCAATGTATTACAGGCACAAGAATTTAAAACCGATATGATAAATAGTATTGTGAAAAGGCCCACTTGACATTTGCAAATGTCAGTGACTACCTACATAAGTTCTACACCTAAACTTATGCTTATTACTATGTATCTACTGATATTTAACATTAGAAACTAAACCATTGTTATCCAACAGCTTGTACGAGACGCAACGATTGTTTCTTAATTTCTTGCGAAATAAAATAATTTAAAGAAATTGCAATAATTCCATAATTTATTACATTGTAAAATTTTTTTAGTTAAAATTTAATACGTATTATTTGTTATTAAATTCTACTAGACAACTATCAAATAGAAAGTTTAGAATTAATTTAAGAAACAATATTCTTTAATAATTCACTTATTCTTAATTTTATTTCAAAAATACACATATAAATGCAGTTGATCGCACCGACTTATTGTGCAAGAAATCTTAAGAAATTAGAAGACTACTGAGTATTTTAGCAAGTATTGGTACATGGTATTTAACGGTAGCCACGCATACTTCTGTTGATACTATCTGCAATACTACACAGAGAGAAGAGATAATATCAACGGAATAAATGTGCATACTTGTGCTTGTTATAATTTTTGCCATAATTTCTAAGATCACACTCACACAGTCAAACATACTGTCAAACGCATACCTAATAATACTGAACGTACAAACTGAAGCATACACATGCATACTTCTTCGTACAGAAATAACGTAGCGTAGGATTCTATTATTTTTCTCGTAGACAGCTGCTGTTTCCAGAA